TAAAAATAATAAGATTTAAATTATAATATGATAAATAATTAAAGTAAAGAGATAATAATAAAGTAAAAATATAGAAAAATGATTTAACAACAAATTTTTTGTATTACTTTATTTATCATTTAAATGATTGTCATTTTTTATTTATTTAAGACACATGATATTAAATATATCAATTTATTTAATGATGTCACGTGAAAGTTTTATTAAAAAATTGTTCTTAAATCACTACTTTTTTTCATATTTATAATTCTTATGTTGGCAACATATTTTTTAATTGCCTTATTTGACAATATTATAAATATCCTAACATTTTTAAATGTTGTACCTAATATTAAACAAATTATGTGCATATAGACTCACCGTATGATTCTTAAATATAAGAACATAATTTTTACGAAAAGAATATTAAATTATAAAAAATTATTTAGTATAGTAATTTAAAAATAATAAGTTTATCTAATTTAATAAATAAAAATATTTAAAATAATAAAAACAATAATTAATAATTATTAAATAAAATAAAATTATTAATTATTAATTTCATACTATCATTCTAAATAACGCGACACGCTGCCTTTCCTCTTTATTTTCGAGTAACCCCAACATATACTCTATTATCATATGCGTGTGCTGCTGTGTTTGATTTGTTTTGGTTTTTTTGTGCGTTTGGTTTTTTGTCAATTTCTTACTTTCTAAAAATCAAAAAAGCAAAGTCAATCCCGTCATTTTTCCAATTCTACAGACAACCCGTGGCCCCTAAACGTAAACTTTGAACAATGATCCATGATTCAAACGACAGCGATTGACGAAGAAAAACCTTTTTCAGCACGACTCGTGCACTCCACCTCACCCACGTCTCTTCCTCCATTTTCATCCCCACATTATTATTTATTACTTATTTCATTTAGTATCTATTTAAAAAGAATGTTTTGATAGTAAAAATTATTAAATATTTAATAATAATTACATAATAAATTTAATAAAATTAAAATTTATATTATATTTTATATATTTAATTATTATAATTAAATATTTTAATGTCAATATATCAACAATTTAAATAATTTAATAAATTTTTTTTATTAAAAATAAAAAATTTTAAATTAAAATTACATGATTTATGATAAAATAAAATAAAAAATTAAAAAAACTACTTCCCATCATTCAATTGACATAAAAAAAAAGAAGTCAATATGTACTATTTTTTCCTACCCTCTTTATTCTAAGGAACATAATTATTTCACTTATTCCTCCACAGAATATTCGAAACGTATAAACCATAGCTTCCCGCAAATGGCGGTGGGGCAAAAGGAACGGGAGGTTGCCCCCACCTACCCCGTCACCCGACCCGAGTTACCGGCCCTTCCCCGCCGTTTCTTGCCTTGATTTTTCGCTTACTTGCCTTACGCGCTTTCATTGAGCTTTTTCTTCGGTGTAATATATAGAGGTAGTGTTCGAATCAATCTATTTTTCTTAGATTTGAATCTGATTCACACTTTCCTTCTGTTCTCTCATTAGGAATTTTTCCTCTGCTCTCTCTGATCTCCTCCGTCTCTCTGCAACTCTCTCCAACCATGACTTCTACTGCTAGCAGATGGCTCAAGCCCGAGGTATTTCTTCACTTCTTTGAATATTAATTCGCTCATCCTTTTATGATTATGGAGTTTTGTAGACTTTGATCTGCTATAATCTGCATATTCTTCTCTAATTTTTTTAGATCTGAGGTTATTCCAATGTCTGTTTGGTTGTTTTAGATTGTTGGATCCTGCAATATCATGAAATTGTGATAATTTCCTGGAAAATCTTAGTGTTTGGCTGTTAAGATTTCTGAATATAGGAATAGCTTGAAGATTTTCGTTCTTCGTTATCGTTTTTCCTGAGAATCCTGTTGTATGTGATACGATTCGGCTCATGTCTTTGCCAAATCCTGAAACCTTCTGTAATCTGTTGTCTGTAACTGTTTTTAGAATTAGAGTTCCATGACTTTCATATCAATATAAGGAGATCTGAGTCTATTACTTTTTAAAAAAATTTTGTATGCGATAGGTGTATCCTCTGTTTGCTGCAGTTGGTGTAGCAGTTGGCATTTGCGGCATGCAACTCGTGAGGAACATCATCACGAATCCAGAAGTGAGGTAAATCTCCGATCTGCACCACTACTTTAATTTTTTCCGATTTTACTTTGATATTTGTATTCTTATATAAATTGGATTTTGAATTTTGATGCAGGGTAACCAAAGAAAACAGGGCTGCAGGAGTGCTGGACAACTTTGATGAAGGAAAGAGATACAAAGAACATGGTCTACGGAAGTATGTCCGCGACAAGCGTCCAGAGATCATGCCATCCATCAACAACTTTTTCTCAGACCCAAAATTATAAACAAGTTGGTCAGATTTGTTTACTTATATTTTACAATTGGATGCAATGATATTCTTTTTAGCTCCAAATCAGATCCTAAAAGAATTTTTTTTTTTTTTTAATTTTTGATGAGGCAATCAAATTGATAATGAAGGTGTTGGATCTTTCTTGAATAATAAAAACTCAATTTTAATATTTTTCTCCTCTTTCATTTGTACTATTTTGCGAGAAGAGTTAGTAGGACTCATGGCAAAATTTCTGAGCTGAAATTAAGAATGAATCCTTACTAATCAGTAAAAAAAGAGGATAACTTGCATTCCTGATGAGATGTATTTTATTGAATAGCATGAACACGAAAGAAACGGTGTATAAATTTGTCTTCCACATGTTTCTTATTTGGATGTAGTTATGTATATAAGAGATCCGTACTACATCTCTAAAGAAAGATGAGTGCTCAAACGTTTATGAAAATGCATCTATAAATAAATACAAAAATAATGTTGCAAGTGTGAAATTCATATGAAGATAGGACATTTCAGTATTTAAAAATTTGATCTCTATTTTAAATTTAAATTTCGAGTGAATAAAAACAAAAATTTATGAAAGAGGCATCTCTATTATATATATATATATATATCTCATCATCCAATGAATCAATAAAAAAAAATCCAAATCTTTCTTTTTTTACCTTGGAGATCAGATGTTTACATGTAGAGTGAGAAAGTTCGTCATGTTTTTTTTTTTTGATAGTAAGGAATTTCAAGAAAAGAAATCCTAATTATAAAATCTAAGTTTTGAATATCTAAGCACTTTTTACATTAGGGTAATCAGTATATCACTATGTGCTAACGAAAGTTTGTCATGTTTTTAATTATGTATTACACGATTAAAGAGAATGAGAAGAAACATGTGGATATTGACATTGTTTTTTTTTTTAATTTTGAATTTTGAATTTTGAAAAAATGAAACCTTGAATTACTGATAAAACCAATAAAAAATAAAAGGGGATGGGAGTGCTGTACAGAACTCAGTCCCTTAGATGTTCATAAGGTTTGCGGAATATTGAAGAGATCAAAGAAAAAGAAGAGTGCTGCTTTAGAAAATACATCTCAAAGAGATGAGATATCTTGGTGCTTTACACATGTTTTGGCTGCGTTAAATTGGCAACCACTTATTTTGTACAATGTGCTAATAGGAGTTGATAAGCAAGGCATGAACCAAACTTTTCCTGCCCCAGCTAAGTTTTTTTTTTTTTTTTTTTTGACAAAGGTAACGGTTAGATTAATAAGATTAGTAAGGTTAGTATTGCTTGTGGGTGGTATTGAACCTATATCAAGAGTGCAATTCACCGGTTGCCTTTTTGGACAACAGTGGCCACCATCGAGCCACAACGGGGGAATGCGCCCCAGCTTAGTTGTGCAGTCACTCACATGGACTTGAGGCTGATCTCTGCAGGGTACATACAACTGAGTTACATACAACTGGGATTATTGAACTTGGAGGTGGTGATCTGCTCGGTGTGACTCTTATCTACTTTTAAATATTTTCCATTAGTGGAATGTTGTTCATGCAATGTTTCCAAAGTTGAATTACATTTTGTTTCAAGTGAATATATATATGCTCCTAAATTCTCACACACCATCAAGCTCAGGAACCCTACTTAAAAAGTGGTATATAATAAATAAATTGATTCTTTTATTAATTAATTTTACTAGATATAGACATTTCAAGAAGTTGGCAATCAATTCTTTGGAAAGTAACCTGTTTCCCCAGAAGGTCATACCCCACATTGTAATTTTGTTGTGCCATTACTCCTATCACATTCAAATTCTTACCGTCCACAGACTCATTCACGGCCATACAAAACTCCTCTGGTCCATTGTCTTGAAACAAGCTCTCTACGTCTAACGATAGCTCCGCCCCGCCAGCAAACTCAAAAGTAACTACCGGAAGGCCCGTCAGGTCTCGGCTAATCATCCCCTTGTAGCACAAGAGAGTTGGAACATCAGGATCCTTCACGCGTTCCAGCTTTCCTTGGAGCATTCTAATCACCTCCGCGCTAACTGGTTCATAAGCAGCCCGAGTGAGCGACGTGATGGTGGATCCGGAGTCAATAACCACTCCACCCTCCCCCGTATCTGTCCTTTTAAAGACTCCGGGATCGATACTTAGCCGTTTTTCTCCAACACGTATACCTTCCATGGTAAGATAGTAAAAAGAGTTATAGATTTCTAGTGGCGTGTTGTCCCCTTGTAAAACTGCATCATCACCTAAAATCAATTGATTATAGGCATATTGAGGGTCCTTTATACTCCCAATGCAATATGAAAATTTGGACCCTAATTTACTAACCAAAGAAGATAGCGGTCCTAGACCAAGAATCCCACTAGGCTGCCCATTGTATCCATGATTGTCATTTCCGCATCCAAACACCACATTCGAGATAGAGGCTGTACCTTCATCGGAGGTTGTAAGACTAACTGTTTCAGTAGCAATAGCCCCTGCAGTGGTGACACCGTCGAGGTATTGCTCGTAGAACTTGCAGTTGTTAATAGGATCGCACTTGCCCGCCGGGGAAATTAAGCAGTTGGGTGAGGTGCATGATAAGTTTTTGTACGTGGATGATTTGAAAGGGTCAAAAAAGGGTGGGAATTGTTCAAAGCAATTGATGCAAGGGAGACACTGGACCCACATGAGATTGCTACCGGTGTCCATAGTGAGGAGTTGGTGAACCGGTGGCTCTCCAAGTGAAATATTCACCATGAACTGGGCGGCACCGCCAGCCTCAGCCACAATACCACCGCGGTAGTCTTGTAAGGGTGGGTGCCTTGGCCTCGGGGAGTAAATAAGTTTGGCGGCAAATCGACCATGAGTAGAGGAAAAAAAGGCTACCAAAAAGACAAGGAAAAGTAGGGTAGAATTAGCCATGTTTGGTTTCTGCAACAGATTTGTTGTCGTTAGGTGAGAATTTATAGGCGTCTAATGTTCAGGGTTTAAGCTTGAAGGAATTTAGGGAAGTTTAATTAAAATAGTAGTAAAGGAATATATGGAAGTTTATTATTTAGGAAAATTAAAATATTACTAGAATTGTAGTCCTTAAATTTCGAAACAAACTTTCTTTTTTTGATCAGCAGAAGTAATCAAACATCAAATTATGGAAGCTCATTATTAATTACTCTCTTTCAATGTGATTTTTTTTTTCTTTTGAATGGGGGGAATTTGTAGGAAAAAGGGAGTAAGGCTGCGATTTTAATCCAAACCATTATGTCCACTATATTTATTTAAAAAGATGGTTATTAGGTCACAAAGGGTTGGACCTCTTTCAATGTGATTTAATTGTTTTATAATTTGACTTATGTATAAAGTTTATTAGATAATTTTATATATTTTTTATTTAACTTTCTTAAATCTAATTATTACATAACTTAGAGCATTTAAATTTAAGAAAAATAATTTAGAGACAAATTTTTTCACAATATTTCGATATAATTTTACATATTATTTAATATTTTACTCTTTTTATTCAAAAGTATATTATGATATAATATGCATCCTGTAATGACATATGAAAGTTAAATAAAAATGTTTTACAAAAAAATTACTTATATATCATTACTCTAAATTTAATTATCTATTTTTTCTTTTTAAAATATCATTTAATGCATTTATTTTTATTTTAAAAAATAATTACTCTTTCCATTCAATTTTAATAAAATTAGTTTTCTATTTAAAAAATTCAAATTTAATTATCTTACTTTTTTATTCATAACAAAATATTTAAATTTCTTATTTCTATTTTACCCTTCTCAATCAAATCATATATCATTTCCCCAATATACTTCGATCGATATGCCTCTCTCTCCTTCCTGACCATTCTCTGCTTCCAAAACACAGATTAGATTTTACTATTGTGCAAGACTGGATGCCATACGTAGGAAGTGAGTTAAGTGATGAGGAGGACTTTTTTCCCCCCTAAAATTTTCGATGTGTCAATTTTTTCATAAAACTTAATAAATTTGATTAGGCACAAAAGAGAATGAGAGCAATGGATCTATTTTAGTCTTAGTTTTTTCTAAGATGACCAATGACAATACTTATTAGAGATCAATATCTTTGTATTTGATGTAAGAAAAATACATTAAAGTATACAAGTTTTGGATACTGAAACATATATATCCTATTATGAAAAATTCAAAAGAAAATTGCTTTTTTTTTTTTTTTTGATTTCTAATTGCTTATGTCTCTAATTTCATGTGGGTTTTTTGTGGGTCTTTTATCAAGGTAATTGCATACATCAAGATAATTGCTTATGT